ATATGCTGTATCTCTTATACACATGCATACCTATGACAAAGTTAATTTATGATTTGGGTATAATAAGAGATTAACAACAACTAATAATAAAATAGAACAATGATAACAATATACTGTGACAAAAGTTAGGTAAATGTGGCCTCTCTCTCTCTCTTAAAATATCTTATTGAATGGAAATGCAGATATGGAGAACAGACTTGTGGACACAGTGTGGGGAGGAGAGGATAGGACAAATTGAGAAAGTAGCACTGACATATATACACTACCATGTGTAAAATAGATAGCTAGTGAGAAGCTGCTATATAACACAAAGAGCCCAGCCTGGTGCTCTGTGAAGATCTAGAGGGGTGGGATCAGGTGGGGGAGGCGCAAGAGGGAAGGGATAATGTATATGTATAATTATGGCTAATTCACATTGTTGTACAGCAGAAACCAACACAACACTGTTAAGCAATTATCTTCCAATTAAAAACATACACACAAAATGGGCAGAAGAACTAAATAGACATTTTTCCAAAGAAGAAATGAAGATGGTTAATAGGCACATGAAAAGATGCTCAACATCATTAATCATCAGGGAAATTCAAATCAAAACCACAATGAGATATCACCAGACACCTGTCAGAATGATTATTTTTTTTCATTTATTTTTATTAGTTGGAGGCTAATTACTTTAAAATATTGTAGTGGTTTTTGCCATACATTGACATGAATCAGCCATGGATTTACATGTGTTCCCCATCCTGAACCCGCCTCCCACCTCCCTCCACATCCCATCCCTCTGGGTCATCCCAGTGCACCAGCCCCGAGCACTTGTCTCATGCATCCAACCTGGACTGGCGATCTGTTTCACACTTGATAATATACATATTTCGATGCTGTTCTCTCAGATCATCCCACCCTCGCCTTCTCCCATAGAGTCCAAAAGTCTGTTCTATACATCTGTGTCTCTTTTTCTGTCTTGCATATAGGGTTATCGTTACCATCTTTCTAAATTCCATATATATGCGTTAGTATACTGTATTGGTGTTTATCTAATAGAACTACCATATGATCCAGCAATCCCACTCCCCATCACTTTACTTAGAGAATATTGGCTTAAACAACAAATATTTATTTCTTACAATTCTGGAGGCTGGGAAATCCAAGCTCAAATGCCAGCAGATTTGGTGTCTGGTGAGAACCTGCTTCCTGATTCATAGACAGCCATCTTCTTGTGTCCTCACATGGCAAAAGGTGGAAAGGAGCTCTATGAGGTTTCTTTTATAAGGACACTAATCCCATTCATGAGGGCTTGACCCTCATGATCTAATCACCTCCCAAAGGCCTTGCCTCTTAATACCATCACACTGGGATTTAGGATTTCAAGGTGTGAATTTGGGTGGGAGGGGGCACATAAACATGCAGTCCATTGCACACATCAAGAGAGTCTCAACATTCATTAGGGAAATAGAAATCAAAACCACAATGAGACACCACTTCACAATCATTAAGATGGCTAGAATTAAAAAAAATACCAGACAATAACAAGTGTTAAGAATGACACATTAGAACCTTCATATATTGCTGGTAGCATGTAAAATGGTGCGACTATTTTGAAAAACAGTTTGGCAGTTCTTTAAAGGTACCGTATGATCCAGCAATTCCACCTCTGAGCGAAATGAAAATATACATCCACACAAAAACTTGTACACAAATGTTCATGGCAACATTATTCAAGGTAGCCAAAAAGCGAAAACAACCCAAATATCTATCTACTGATGAATGGATAAACAAAATGAGGTATATCCAAACAAAGGAATATTATTCAGTAATAAAGAATGAAGTACTGATACATGGTATAGCATGGATGAATCTTGAAAACATTCTAAGTGAAAAAAGATAGTCACTGAAGAGCATATATTTTTGATTCCATATATATGAAAGGTCTAGAACAGGCAAATTTATAGAGACAGAAAGTAAATCAGTGGCTGCTTGCAGCTGGAGGTATGGGGTGGGAATGTGGAACCAGTACAATGTTTCCTTCTGGGGGTGATGAAATGTTCTGTAATTGGATTATGAGGGTGATTTGCACAACTTGAACATACTAACAACCATTGAATTGTAAGCTTTAAATGTTGAAGTTTGTGGAAGGTGAATTACATCAATAAAGCTGTTAGAAAAAGAAAAGATCATGTAGTTAGTAAATGGCCATGCAGGATTTCAAATCCAGTATCTGGAAAGGGGAAGGTATTCAACAAACATTTGTTGAATGAATGAATATCCTTCACTTCCAAATTCGCAACAAGATAGAGGTTCTCTCTATCAAGTATCATTCAACATTGTTCTGAAAGCTCTAGCTAATGCAATAGAAGATGAAGTAATCGGAAAAAAATATTTGAAAGGAAAAGAGAGAGTATCATTGTTAATTGAATGTGACATGATATTATATCTAGAAAAACTAAGAGACCATAAAAGGCAACTATAATTCACATGAGAATGTGACAACTGGATTGGATAAGAAATAACATACAAAAAAGAAAAAAAATTAAACCAATATTTCCCCCCTATGGAAATAGAGAAATGTGCTATTTATTGTGATGATGAAATCAAGTGTAAAATATCTAAGAATGAACTTTTAAAAAAGGTCCTGAATCTATAAGAAGAAAACTATAAAATATAGTTTTAGTGGTTGCTTTTGAAATAAAATAAAATGGTTTTTAACATTCATATGAAAGAATAAGTGCTAAAAAATATTAAAGAAAACAACCAAAGAAAGGAAGAGTGAGGGGATTAGCACTATTAAATATTAAAAGTATTCCTAAAGTCACAACAGTTTTTTGAAAGGGAGTAGACACATATATAGAAGAAAAAATTGAGTTCAGAAATAGAACGATATACATTTAGGAATTTATGGGACAAAAGTGGTATTTAACTGAGTGTGAAAAGGGTATTCATTTAATGATTGGTGCTGTCAAATTTTCTAACCAAATGGAAAATACATACTTTAATCTCATCTCATACCACACACCAGAATTTTCCAGTTGGATTAAAGTTTAACCCTAAAGCAATGAAAATTTAAATTTAACTCACTAGGCAAGACACAATATTTAGAACTTGTAAAGAAAAATTATCTAATCAGATGACTATTTTTCTAATTATATATGAAAACACATTTCAAAAATCAGGATATAAAGAGAGATAAAGGGGACAATTACAATAAATGACAGAAGGTTAATATCCACAAATTAGTGAGAAAGACAAACTACATAAAGAATAAAAAGAGCAAAGAATATAAAAAATTTTTAAATACATTTCAATGGCCAATAAATATGAGATGTTCGGCCACCAGTTGTCAGGAAGATACACATCAAAGTAAGCTACATACTGTTCTGTTTGGCCCTCAGAGCAGAAATTTAAAAAGCAGCAACAATCAGTGCGGGAGATGATTTTTGGAGTGAGCCCTTTTATATACTGCTAGTGGGAGATGTAATTTTACAAAAGTTCTGGAAAATAATTTAACTGAAATTTCAATACATACCATCCACTTTAAGGAACATCCATTCCTGCAACTAATGATCACTCAGATGACAGTGTCTGACTATAATTTAGAAATCAATAACAAAAATTTCAACTTTGGGGGAAATCAAAATCTCATACCTAAATAACTAAGGGATCAGAGAGAAAACCACAACAGAAATTAAAAAACATTATTAATAAACTATGGTGGAAGTGTTACATATAAAAACTTGTGACATGAAACGAAAGTGTTCTTAGAGAAAAATTCATGAACTTAATGCCTATACTATAAAAGAAAATTATGGGATATTAATTGAGATAAGCATTCAATTTAGGAATTAAAAAAATAGGAATAGAAAAAATCAAGAAACATTGAAATCAAGGGCAGAAACTAATGACACAGAAAACAAAGATATAGGAGGACCAAGAAGGTCAAAAGTAGGTTTTTGAGACAATCACATCTCAATTCTAAAACCACCGATCACTGATCCCATGAAGCAGCGTGGGGTTCATAGGCCCCTCTGTCACTAGCAACAGTCCCAAATAAATGTATCCTTCATCCCACAGAGCTCCATCACTCACACCACAGAAACTTTGACCATCCACCCAATAAACCTAATCATATACCTTATAGACCCTGCAACACTCATCCCACGGCCCTCATCACTTACCTCAAAAACTATCACTCACTCATTCTCCAATCCTCATCTCACAGGCTCTCCACCACTCACTCTACAGACCACCCATTACTCACCGAAAGACGGTCATCACTGACATCACTGAACCCCATCATTTATCTCACAGACCACTCCATCACATACCTCAGTAATTCCCATGACGCCTCACAGAACGCCAATGATTCGCTGCACAGGACCTCCAAGCACTAACCTCACAGAGCTCAAATCACATCTCTGACACCAGATCACTCACACCACAGTCCCCTTTCCTCACTCCACTTACCCCCGATCATTCACTCCACAGACTTCCACTGCTTATCCCACAGACTCAGTCACTTACCCGATCAGTGGCCTCCAAGGAGGCTCCTCACTCACCCTACAGACTCCTCATCGCTCACCTCATCAATGCCCCCTGCTCATCCTATAGACTCTGTATCACTGACCCCACAGATTCCCCAAAATTCAGCACACAGACTGCTTATTACTTTCTCTGCTGCCTCCATCATTCACCCACAAACCCCTGTGTTGCTCTATGCACCACCTCACACACTCCAGAGAAGCCATAATTATGTCAATGCTTTACTGGTGCTAAATCGCCGTCTCAATTAAACTCAGTCCCAGAGCCCAAAGTGTTGAAACTGCCTCTGCGGGACGCTGACGTTTCTGGACTTCACACTGCACATGCTCAGTGTCGGCGCCGAAGCGGCCGTCCACCCCAGTTACACCTTGTGCACTCACGAGGCGTCAGTGCGTGCGCGTGTCTGTGTGTGTCGGAGGAGAGGCGGGCTTTCCAATTTTCTTTAGTGACTTTGTCAGACCACTAACATGGCTGTCCTCTTGGGAGTGTCTCTCCGGGAGTCGCCATCTTGGGAGGGTGGGCATCTCTGCAGCTGCGGAACCAGCGGTACCTCGCCGGACCTGCCTCATCGGGGTTTCCTGGGAGCCGATCCGGCCCAGCAGGTCGGGCTGCGGCTCCCAGACTCTTCCCTCCCGCGCCGCATCCTCCAGTGTTACCCCAAGCATAGGCCTGGTGTCTTCCCAGCTCTGCGTCCTAGGGCCCCGCCCTCCGGCCGTATCCCCAGGGGCCGAGGTATCTTCACACGTAGTAACTCCCCCTGCCCCCTCCCCTATCCTAGCTAGAAAGACACCTCCAAGCCACCGGTCAGACACTGGCGCCCCCTCCCCAGCCCCCACCCCCGCTCCACTTCTCCAGGTGCAGAAAGGCCCCCGATCCGTGCAGGCGGCTCGCGGCGGCAGAGCCCCGGGCGCCGCTGCGTGCCCACCTGACGGCGCCTTTGTCCACCCGTCGGCTGGGGGCATCGCCCGGCTCCGGCTGTCACCGACCCTGGGTATTTGCTATGATGGGGGGGGGAATAGTACGTGTCAAATTTAGGCCAGGAAGCGGAAGTCGCCCGCAGCGAGAGTTTAACCACTGTGGGCGCGGGGAGCTGAGGTGGTTGAGCGCCAGAAACCAAGTATCTGTGCACGGAGCAGGGGGGTGGGGGGGGGGGGCTTGTGACATCAGTAATGGGACATTTCATCCATTAAAACAAGAAAAACAAAACTGGAGTACTCAGGCTTCCCAGTTTCCTTATATAAGCATGAAGGCTAAAGCTCTCTTCTAAATATCCAAGGTTTCAAGGTTTTTTGTTTGTTTTTTAAGGTTTATTTATTTAATGTTAGACTGCTCTGGTTTTCTTCCTTGCTGCTGCGGGTTTTCTCTAGTTGTGGCGAGTGGGCTTATTGCGGTGGCTTCTCTGGGAGCCCGGGCTCTAGGCACCAGGCTTCAGTAGTCTCGGAGCTTTGGCTAAATAGTTGTGGCACAGGGTCTTAGTTGCTCCTCAGCATGTAGGATCTTGGAGCGGGTTTCTGCTGCATTGGCAGGTAGATTATTAACCACTAGACCACCAGGAAAGCCCCAAATTCCAAGTTTTTATTTGATTTATTTTCATTAGTATTCAGTTTCAAGTGCTAATTTGTAACGGTTTCCCCCCTTTGACCCAAGGATTATTTAGAAATCCAGTGTCAAACTTGCCTTGAGCCTCAAGTATGGGACCCAGTTTTCGACAATGTTTCATTTCTTGATTGAAAAGACTGTATTTTCCAGCTGTTGGGTTTAGCATATGTGTTTATTGGTTTGAACTTGTTAGTGTGTGTGTTGTGAAATGAAAATATCTCCTGCCATATTAATAAACAAGGAGGAAAGAGACAGAACAGGATCCATCTTGAAAGCAGGACTCCATCTTGAGACAGACTGTGGACTTTGAGCTATATGCCCAGTATTATGGAAACGACATACCAACTGGAAAACCAGACCCTTGGGATGGAAGAGCCCCAGGGCTCATACCTAGACTCTCCGTTGCCTAAAAGAATACCCTAATTATTTGTGTAACCAAATAGAATCATAAATTTTATAAGCATAAGCTTATTGGAGTATGACCACAGGCCTATTGGTAGTTGTCCACTGTTAACTACCTAAGCTTAAGGCATACAAATCACTGGCTAACTTTGTATCTTTCTTTTTATTTGTTCAGACTAGTTTCAGAGAATTTGAGGTGGGTTTAAGCATGTACACTTAGGGTATATAAGGTTTCCACAAAAACTGGTCGGGGTCCTTGGCTAAGAGGAGACTGCCTTGGACCCCCTGGTGTAATAAATTGCACTCCACTATCTGCATTGTCCTTCTGAGTGACTTTGTTTCCAGAAACGGGAGGCTACAACAATGTCACAGCCATCAGTTATTTCTGGCCTCCAAATGTGAATGATCGCTCCCAAAACTGCGATCCAGCAGGCGTTGCCACCACCCCCACCCCCAACCCCCATAGTGATTGCTGAGGAGCTGGAGGAATACAAGAAGCAAGGTGAACAAGGAAACAGGATTGGCTCCAAATAGCTGAGGTGCATATGAAAGAAATGAATTCAGTGAGCCCAGAGGCTTGAATCTTTCCACACGTAGAAGGCTAAATTCCTTAACTTGATACCTGATATGTGGTGTTCAGACTACCTGCTCCCTTTGTTGCAAACTTGCATATAGCCTGACTCCCCCTCCTGCCTCCTTGGAGCAGTTTCCTCGGAGCTACTGAGATGCTGTCTCCCTGGCTCAGAGTCCTAAACATTCCCACCAAATAAAATAACCCTCTACTTTCAGGTTGTGACTATATTCTTTTAGTCGACATAGTGTTAGTTGCTCAGTCGTGTCCAACTCTATACGACCTCATGGACTGTGTGGTCTGCCAGGCTCCTCTGTTCATGGAATTCTCTAGGCAAGGATACTGGAATGGGTAGCCATTTCCTTCTCCAGGGGATCTTCTTGACGCAGGGATCGAACTGGTGTCTCTGTGTCTCCTACATTGGCAGGCAGATTCTTTACCACTAGTGCCACCAGGGAAGCCCCTGAGCTATTTAAAATGATGATTTTTTTCTACTTGCTTCCTGATGATTTTCTTCTGCTTGCTCTCTGAGTTAGTGAGAGAGATCTCCCACTGTACTGGTAAGTCAGATTTTCATTGCACCAGTCAATTTTTTGCTTCCTATATTTTGAAGTTTTACTATTAAATCCAAGGGTATTGTGTTGTTGAATAGATACAGCCAAATCACATCCCCAAAATATTTTAACATTTCCTACTCCCACCAGCACAGTATGAATCCACCAAGGCAAATCTTGAGCACTGAATGTTGATGTTCTAATTTTTGCCCATCTGAGGGGTAATTTAATTGCTTTAACTTGCACTACCCTTGAAGGAGGAAACAGACAGAGCTGGACTCCATCTTAGGCCAGGCTGTGAACATTAGGCTACATGCATGGTCACCCTCCCAATGGACGCTGAACTTTGTGCCCGGTGTCTATAGAAATGGCATTCCAATGGAAAACCAGACCCCCCAGATAAAAGAGCCTCAGGACTTGTATTTGGACTCTCCGTTGCCTAAAAGAATATGCTAATTATCTCTTAACAGAACAAAGTGGCAAATTCCATTATGTTTATCGGGATATGACCACAGGCCTATTGATAAATATCCACTGTTTATCTAATCTTGTGACACAGGAATCATGGGTTAACTTTGATCGTATCTCTCTTTTACCTTGTCAAGACTAGTTTCAAGGAATTTGGGGAGGTAGGTTTGAGCAAGTACACTTAGGGTATATAAGGTTTTCACAAAAACTGGTTTGGGGTCCTTGGCTAAGAGGAGACTCTGCCTTGGGCTCGCCTGTGTAATAAACTGCACTCCACTATCTGCATTGTCCTTCGGAGTGAGTTTGTTTCCCGGAACGCATGGCTACAACACCCTGACCACTTGTGAAACTGAGGCTCTTTTTCTGTTTCTTGACAATTTAGATCTTCTCTTTGGGAAATCTTCATATACTTTGTTAAGTTTTCTTTGCAGTGATTTGTCTTTTTCTTATCAATTTGTAAAAGCTCTTTGTAAACTAGAGATATTTTTTGCATTGCAATATTTACCCCTAACTCATTCTGTCCTTTGCATTTTGTAGGTGTCCTTTTATCTGTAATTAGAAAAATGTATTCTTTCATCAAAAATAAGCTTTCTTGGACTTCCCTGGTGGTCCAGTGGTTAAGAATCTGCCTGCAGGGGACATGGGTTTGATCCCTGGTTCAGAAAGATTCCACATGCTGTGGAGCAACTAAGCTCATGCACCACAACTACTAAGCCCATGCATCTAGAGCCCATGCCTCACAAGAAGAGAAGCCACTGCAATGAGAAGCCCACATACTGCAACAAGAGTGGCCCCCACTCACCACAACTACAGAAAGCACAGCAACAAAGACCCAGTGCAGCCAAAAGTAAATTTTTTTTTAAAAAAAGCTTTCTTTTCTGGCTTCTGTTTTTCCTGCCTTGCACGGACCCCTTCTCCATTCCAAGTACTCCTAAAAAGATAGTCTTAACATTTATTTAATTTTTGTTTAAAAATTTTCTACTTATACCTTTAATCTAGTTGAAATTGACTCTGATGTATGGTATGAGATTAAGATCAAGCTTCATTGTTGCTGCATCAAATAGAAACAAATCCAGACTTGGATAGGGAGAGACTAGAAAGAAAAGCTATTGCAAATAGGGAGAGAATCCCCATCTCAGAAATCTGCAAGCATTTCAAAACCAAAAAGAAAAAGGCTTTTCTTTTATAGATAGGGTAAGGAGGAGGCAAGCCGAGATAAGCAGACTGTGGAAGAGAACCTGCACAATCAGGGAAATGACCAATGGGATCTGACAGGACAGTGTCCACTGTGGTCAGCCAATTCTCAGGAGATGCTGAGAAAAGGGCATGCTCCACACTTTTTTGAGCTTTCTCAGGCTTGAGGGCAAGCAGAGTTCAGGAACCTGTAGGAAAGAGAGAAGCTTGGCTAAAGTTTGGCTAATAAGCATTTTGTTGTGGTTAATCAATGTTTATGGGGGGAAAGAATGAGAATTTGGAGGGTCTGTGTCTGGCCATGTTATCAACAAACAGGTGGTGTCCGTGAGTCCAAAGTCATACAGGGAAGGGGGGATCTTTGCTGTAAGCAAAGAGTAACACAAAAGAGCACAAAAGAGTAAGGGAATTTCTTAACCTTCACTATTTACCAGGATCACGGGGCTCAGGTAAAATTCAACATTAACAGCTGGCACCATTTATGGAACATATTACCCAAAAGCCCCTGAATTAAATGTCAATTCTGTTATATAAGGTCACAAATATTTAGCTTAATCTGAACTGTATCATGTCTCTGTAATCTATATGATTTCAAAAGATTTTTGTTCTCACAGATTTACTTTTTCTAGAAACTTTGAAGTTTAAAATCATTTTATAAAGTTTAAAAATGAATACTACCCCTCCTCAAAAAAAAAACCCTCCACAAAACAAAACTATTGTAATTCTGATTGGAATTTTATTATATCAATATTATACTTTGGAAAGAGTTAATGCTTTTTATTATGACTTTGAGGAGATGCCTCACATCCAAGGGCAAAAAAGACCCCCCAGCAAGATGGTAGGAGGGGCGAATTCACATTTAGAATCAAATCCCATTCCTGCCAGAGATGCTCAGAGCGCACAAACAAACCTTGTCTGCACCAGGACCCAGAGACCCCACAGAGACTAATACAGAACTGTGTTTGAGCATCTCCTGTGGAGGTACGGCTCAGCAGTGGACTGCTGCAGGGGCAGGGGCTCTGGGTGCAGCAGACTTGGGTAGGACATATATCCTCTTGGAGGAGGTCGCCATTAACCCCACCATAGAGCTGCCAGAACTTACACAGGACTGGGAAATAGACTCTTGGAGGGCACAAACAGAACCTTGTGTGCACCAGGATCCAGGAGAAAGGAGCAG